CATTGTCAATAGCTAACACATAAGTGTCAAAGTTTCAATAACTAACATACTGGTGTCTGACTTAAAGTAGTCAACACATAAAATGTCGATGTTTTGTCCGATGATACTATTGATATATATCATAACATGATGAGTGTCAACATTTATTCACCATATGTGTATTGCTATTTACCAAACTAACACAAAAAAATAATAATTCAATGTATTGGCAAGAGTATGACAACATTGGCAAAAACATGTCATTCCAACACATTACTTTTCTTGAAACTTTACATTGAGAAATTGTTTCTCAATTCACTCTAATGAAACAAAAAAAAAAAAAAAAAAACCTCTTAAACGTGAAGAATTCTAAACTCTATACAATCTCCGACAAAAAAAAAATGTTACTATAAAATATAATTTTTTTTGTCCGAAGAAGGACTCTCAAGCGTAATTATACAAAAAATGTTGTTTACTCTCCCATAATTCATTATTTGTAGAGGATATATTCTATATTTTAACATAATATCAGCACCTATATGACCTTATGATCCATTGTTAATAAGCAAAGCCCTCTGTGAAAGACCTAAACAAACATTGGACATGTAACTTCTAAGATTTAATTTTAAAATACACAGTTTGGCTAAATACTAAAGGAAAAAGATAAATTAGGCTAGACTAATTGAACTTGAAGGACGTATTTAAAAATGTGGAATTGAAAATAAAACACGCCCACATTTTATAGACAAGAAGAAATGCAAATGAATATACTTAGTTAATAATAAAATAAATTTTTAATATTATAAAATAAAATTTAGTTAATAATAAAAATATTAAAAAGTGCTGTTAATTTAAAATTTAGAGAATATAGAATTCGATATTACTCAAGCATTTTGGACAACATAACTATCAAAATAATTCCATGAAAGGCTGACAAATTGGAGAGTCGTTTAGACAAAAGTTCCATTCAATTATAATCTTTAGTTGCCAAGTCTTATTACTAAGGGAGTGTTTGATAAATTAAATAAGATATCATTTAACTTATTTAACTAATTCAAAAGTTTGTTTGACAAAATTAAATTATTTCATGAAATATTTTATTTTAATAATTTGTAGTATTTTTTAAAATATTACTTCATATACCATTTGAATTATTAAATTCCTAACTTTTTTTCTCAATTTTTATAATCACTGTCTTCTTAAAACTTTTCCTTTACTCTTATTTTGTTCAAAAATCCCTATCACCAGTTCATTCTCATTCTATAAAATATAATTTTTCTATATTGATAAATTGTTTAAAATATATTAAAATATAAATTCAAAAACATATATACTTACCAAATTGCAAACAATAACTAAACAATTTAAACATACTTTTTTTACATCATTTTACATTTAATAACTATTTCAATAATTAATCATATCAAACAATTTTAATTTAATTAACTAGTTTATCAAATTTTAATTTATATTTAATTTTCATCATTCAACTAATTTATTCGTTAAGAGACAAGTATAAACATACGATGGCTCTATGTTAACCATTTATGATATAACATCAAAACATTTATGATAAGTCAGACACTATTCATCATGTAACTGAGATCTTTCGTGAGGGAATACTATACATGAAACCCAATCGTTAATTTTCTTTTATAACTTAGACAAAATGCAACAATTTCCATCTTTTACTCATTATTTCTGAGAACTGAGGAACCCCACCACTTTAGAAGAAGAACATTTAAACATCAAAAGATAGAACCAAATTAATAAAAATATTATGCATAGAAAATTAATATTTAATTCTTTTATGAAAATTGAGTAGTATTTATATAATTTGTAAAGTAATTGCTTTATAATATTATATTTTAGCACCCTTAAACGTATACTTATAAATGACTGGTGTTTGACGTCTCAGTTATGAATGTGTGAAAAGCAAAATTCTCTCAAGTCAAAAGGACTATTGTAGCCCATAAAAATTTGTAGAAGTCAACATGGTTTTTAGATAAAATTTATTAATACTAGGTGTAAGTTTAAAAAACTTATACTAAATCTCAACGGTACAAATCAAATAATCTAATAGTTAAAAAATTATTTTATTTAACCAAAATAATAAAGTATAAGTGTGTAGAAAGAAATAACTTTTCAACCGTTAAATTATTTGATTTGTACAGTTAAAATTTAGTATAAGTCTTTTAAATTTATATCTAGTGTCAATAGATTCTATCTCTAATTTTTTTATTAAAAACAATAAAACATTATAAAATTTAACAGATTTTGAATGAAAAATTATTACATTCTTAAACACAACCGAACAGTGGATTAACCGCAAGAATTCTTCTGTCTTAAAAGTGGGAATGGGGGAAGCTATTTCGGGTTTTGGGATTCGGATTCTGAAGCATTTTATTTTCTTTTATATTATTTGGTTCAATATGATATCAGGGTCCATTAATGAATAGTGCAAAGCCAATTCATTAAATTCTTATGTAAATGATTTGGTTACATTCAATTTTCGAAATGTATCTTCTACTTTTAAAATCAGTTTGATTATCAGAAAATTTTTAATTTTTTTGCATGTAAGGACTTAACAAACCTTCTGTTATAATAATAATAATAATAATAATAATAACAACAACAAACTAAATTAGGAAGGTGTTTAATTAGTTAAATTTAATGCGCTTAAAACAGAGAGACTTTATATTCTTAGGCACACATCGTCAGTAATAAATGTTACAAAATTCAACAATATGCCATTTTTAAATATAAATATCTCCACTGTAACATTTCATTTTCATCACTCTCACAAGTTAATTTTTTTCTTAATTTCCTAACAATCAACTTCTAATTTTAAACATATATTTTAAATTTTTATTATTAGTTATTTCAATATGAATTAGCATTTAACAACTAATATAAATATTATAGTTACAATTTTATTATTTGAAAATTAAATAAATACGTTAATAATATTACAAGTACTTTAATTTATACAAAAAAAATTACACTTATTTATTTTCATATTACTCATTTATTATTCTAATTAATCTATTAAAAATCTCTGTAATTACTAACTCCTTATTATGAGCAAGATTGCTTAAAAAGCAGTTATAATTAAAATTTTGTAATTCTCACGACACATATTGTATTATAAATATATATTATTTAAAACTTTAATTTTTTTTTAAATAGGTGTAAATTATAATATAAATAAAATTTATCAATTATTATAGATAATAAAATGAATATTTAAAAAATAATTTAAAAAAGCACTAATAGTCTTATGATTAATCTTTAAGCTAAACATGAAATGAAATTAATTTTAGAAAATATTATATAGTATAAAAGAAATTAAGTGTTTTTTAATGTTTTAAAAAACAGATTTACCAAAAAAGTATAATTTTAGAAATTAAAGAACATTCCATTAACCAAACATCTCTTTCAAGTTTACTAACCAATTTGTAGCTTTGCATATGTTAATTTTCAGGATTAGATGCAGTAAGTAACTCAATAGTGTGTGATGTGCTAGTAATCTGATTTGCAAGTGGTTTATACGAGTGATCTTTTTCTGTTTATGTGGGTGAGGAGAGGGTCATGGAAAGATAAAGAATATGCATGCATTTGAGTCAGAAGATGTGTACTTGAAACAATTTGGAAAAACAACTACAACGTTGAAATTAATAACATCTCTAAGCATTTAAACGCGACAAAGATGCATGTAAGTAGGACGCAATCAACCCACAATTTTTTCGGCAAACATAATAAGATCACATGAACATGATAATGGGTTTTGCTGTGTCTGCAATTTCAGCAAAAGGGTCCCCACTTGAAGCTTTAAGGAACGATGAACAAGAAAAAAATGGATTGTTATGCCACATGATTTAATTGGCGGTTGGAGTTTGGTACCACATGCGAAGAATAGTAAATATCATCCCATTAAAGTACAATATCATATAGTGGCCTAGGAAAATGTACTATAATTTCCATGTCCCTGTCATAAGTATAAATTTTAGGGGAGGGTGCTGAGTGACACAATTTTTAATATATATTTTTAATATTTAATTAAATTTATTAAAGATTATAAAATGTGTTGGTAAAATGAACAACAAGAAGGCATTGAAAGATGTGATAGTTTACGTACGTAGAGGTGGATGCCAAAGATTAAACGGTGTCAAAAGTGGAACATTGGGATACTATGTAACGACACTAAATTCAAAGCTCAAACTCCAAAGACTGTTCACATTCGTCTAATTCTCAGTTCCCTCACGCCACCTTCTTTATGGAATTTATTGTTAGCAGGTTTGGTGAGAATAGTTACTGACCTAGTAATACCCCTCCTCATAAATCCATTTAATAAATAAATATTTTTCTTAATCTCAATCTTTTAACTAAGTTTAAATACTTATAAACTCTCAAAATAATAAGAAAATCACTTAAAACATGCTCAAAAGTTGAAAAAAAGTACTTACAGATGATCTAATAATAAAATTTTAACCACATATTTATGAGTACAATCCTATATATCATTCAACTTAATCCTCATATTCCCCAAAGCAATGCAGTTCCTTTATTGAATCTGAGACGTGTCGTTCTCCTTCACATGCATGGCCATAACTGAGTAACGATGGCTGCACCACTATTACTGTAGGGTTGTGTGGGCGTTGGATGACAATAATTACTGCTCATGCGGTAACAAGAATGAACTTCGCCAGTGGTCCCATTAAATTTTCCTTTACGGTGGATCATGTACACAGTTTTGCTATATAAAATAAACTTTATTTTCCTTTAATATTATTAATACATTGTATTTTATAATATAGTCTAATCTAAATAAGAATTAGTATATATAAATTACGACAGAAAAATCATATAAAATTGTTCATCTATATATACGTAAGCTGGCTACTGGGCCATGTTATTTGTTCCCTATTTGCTTTGTGAATTGAGAAATGGAGATTGAGCAAACCACAGGTAATGACAACAGTGTTGCCGAGTATGAACTGAGAGTTTCAGATACGAGAGGAATGTATCTTGTGTGGGAAGATTTAACTGTTGTAGTTCCAAATTTTGGGAATGGACACACTAGGAGATTGCTTAATGGGTTGAATGGATTTGCTGAACCTAACAGGATCATGGCTATCATGGGTCCTTCTGGCTCTGGAAAATCTACGCTTCTTGATGCTTTAGCAGGTCTCTCTCTATCTCTCTCTCTCTCTCTCTCTCCCCCTCCCTCCCATATGTATCATAAGGGTGCATGCTTTGTTGTATTTGTATTTGTATTAGTATATGATTTTCATTTTCATGCCAAAGCATGTTCTTTCACGTATGGTTTATATATATGCAAAGAACATACCTAATATATCTAAGAAATAACTGAAAAATTCCTTAAGTGTTGCTAACCCTAAAATCAGTCTTCTCTTTCCCTTTATCTTGTTTGGAGAGTTAGTGTGATTAATTTTAATATCGTTTGTTGAGGTGATGGTTATTTATGGGCTTCAACTCACCCAACATCTTTATTTACTTTTCTCTCTGGTTTGGAAGCACAAATGAAAAACAACGGGGCAAGTGGAGGTAAAACACTACCGAAACTGTTATCTTTAATAAAAAAGAATACTGATATTTCTTAATATTTTGTGTATTAACTTTCCTTGAAATCAAACTTCAAATCGAGGGCATATTTACTAAAGCAACAATATGAAGTTCAAATATTTTTCGCAGCAGTTTTTCTCTCCAAACAAAGTTGATAGGCGTAATAAGTATGCAGTTTTGAAGACTTACACTTTGTTCGATTTCATTAAAAAGAAAGTGGTGGAAGAAAAGTAGAAAAAGATATATTTTTCTTCAATTTAGTTCAACACAGAAATGGCTGAGAAAGAATAAAAGTATGAGAGCTACACACCTTTCTTTCTCAAACTATCAAACTATCCAAGAAATTTGTAGGAAATTAAGAAACTAAATTTTCTTTACCTTTCATCTATACCCATTTGCGTCACTGCTTTTTGCATAGAAAGCCTTGCACATTACACCCTGTTTTCCTCATAATATTTATTATATTTGATCAAACAATATTATATTTTAGTAATTAATTTTAAAATTTATATGGAGAAATATACTAAAACCGCAAGAATAAAAGAGAGAAGAATTGTTAATACTATATTATACAACTCATTCATTTTAGGGGCATGATAATTTATTCAAGAAAAAATATTTTCTTTATTTTTTTAAAACCAAAAAAGTAAAAAAGTAAATACTATTTTTCTTTCTCTTCTCTTTCTTCCGTAGTTTTCTTAATTATGCTAAATAAATTAAAAATTATTTATTTATTCATCACTTTATTTATTTTTCCCTAAAGTAAACAAAATAAAAAGTTCATGACAGACCATATAACTAAAAGGAAAGAGAAATAAAAAAGTTAAATTACATTCATACTAATTGAAGTTTAACAAAATTTCATCTGATATTCTTTTTTTTTACATTACTTTGACTTCTTTTAATTTATATAATTAATAAAAAAATTTAAAAATTTGGGTAATTAAAAAGGATATACAATGTTACATTAATATATACAAATTAAAGGAAATCATGTAAAATAAAAAATATTAAATAATCTGTATTAAATTTCAAGAGATATGAGAGAAATCTATCTTAAAAAGAATATGAAAGAAATATCAAGCAATGGGTGCAAAAAAAAAAAAATCATAACTCCATCATAATGTCTATGGCAATCAAAGGGACCAAGTGTGCCTTTACAAACAAGGTAAATGACTTATTAGGGAAGCCAAAAACAGGACATTCATGGAAACATTTTCCCAATGTAAGATTGAGACACTGTAGATTTATACTAAAGGGTAAGAATGAGCAACGAGACCATTAAACTCTACCCTTTCTTGTTTCCATTTCAAACAATGGAACAAAACCATGGTATTATCTTAGATCAATTTAAGATGGCAAAAATTAACAACATGGTTTACCGACACACAGTCCCCCCCTTATTTATTACAACGATTGAAGCATAACAACTGTGTCTTGGTGAACATCAATCAAGCCCAACAAATAAGGTTTTCTCACTCTCCCATGCTCCATCATTTTCCCATATTGCATCTCACTTCATTTATGGATAATTCACTAACAATATCTACCCATGGTAGGGTTCAATATTTGACTATTTGTCACGGACTTTGATTACCAAAAATGTATTAAGGAGTTCTTTTAGAAAGAGTATTCTTAAAGAAAAAGAAGAGGAGGGTGAATATTTTATTTTAAATAACTATATTTTAATTTATCAATAAAAGAGCTAAAATAATATATTAGTATAATTTTAATATAATATTTATTTATTTATTATAAAAATGATAAATTATTTTTATAATTTAAAAGTAAAAAATTATCTTATTTCTTTTAATTTTTTTCTCAAATAATTCCTAATTTTTTTATTTCTATAAATAATTATGCTATATCATCTTACTTTTGTTTTATTGTAAATATTTATGGAAGTAATAGTGAAATAAGGTTTTATTACTTTTTATGCAAATCCTTAAAAAAGTGAAAATAAGATATATTTATATAATTAACTGTGAAAAAAATAATAGTATGTTCTTAAATCAAACAGGCCGTAACATATGCTGAAAAAAGGAAAATAAATGTAAAATCATTATATCCTCCAAACGGGATCCTATGCCAAATATGCTCTATATGCTTGTCTATGAAAATTAAAATATAAAAATTTGGCTAATCAATATTTTAAAAGTTCTAAAGTGTGTTTGGCAAGGCAGTTAAATTAAGGGGAAAATTAAGTATTGTTTTGTAGTGATATTTGAATTATGCACCAGTTAACTTAATAATTTAATTTTAATAAAATATTTATATTTAATGTTATCGCTTATTATTGAGATAAAATTTAAATTTAATTAATAAATAAATACTAAAATTACTTAAACTATTGCATTTTTTTATTTAATTAATTGAAATTTTATTTAATTAAAATAATTTTATTTAGTAAAATGGCTTAAATAAGCAGTTATTAGAATTTTCTTAAAATCATATTCTATCTACCGGTTTTTAAAAGTTAATTTTCAGGTATAACTTTATTATTTTTGTCCTATTATTTTTTTAATAAATCATTCTTTTACTCCTTTTTGATGTTTAAATTATTGCATTTATTTTTTTTCACATCCAGCCTTTTTAAATTACTTTTGTCATTAAAATCTTATTAAAGTATAACTAATTATTATATTTTTTACGATATAAAATCATCAAAATAATAATATAACAGTATAAATTCATCAAAATAATTCATATTATTTCTTTTTATATAACTAAAATATTTAAAATGAGAGTAAAATTAAAATTGTTAAATTATTTAAAAATATATAATTACTAAGTTTTGAAAATTTTGACAAAATTTAATGATATCTTTTATTTTTTTTTATTTTACATTTATTAACTAATTTAACAACTAATTTGATAAAAAAAAAACTTTCAATTTAATCAGTTAGCTTTCTAGCTTTCAACTAGTTTATTCATTATTGTTGCCAAACACACCCTTAATTATGAAATTATAAATATAAAATTAAAATTAAAATTTACATTAAATGTGTATTAAATATAAGAATATGATAATCTTTCTTACTTTAGTTTATTAATTATTTAAAAGATAACGATTAATAATTTTACCAAATGAAAAACAAAAATGTAGCTGAAGACTAATAATCCAAATTCAAAACTCTCTAAAGATAGGGCCATGTTGGGAATTTGGAAAGTCAACTAATGAATTTGTAAGGTAGCTGTGTTAGCATTTTTCAGTTTCTTGTTTATGAATAAACCTGTTACGGACTTTAACATCAGATAATTGGGATCCATTGCAGGTAGACTCTCTAGAAACGTGATCATGTCTGGAAATGTGCTTTTAAATGGAAAGAAGAGGAGATTAGATTACGGGGTTGTAGTAAGTAATGGCACTATATTCTAATTGAAAGTTTGCTATTATTGGTACTTAACCTATGAAATTCTAATTTTAATGGTAAAAGAAGGCACCAAATCAAAATTTTCCAATTTATCAATCACTTGTTTAGAAGAAGAAAAAAAATGATTGCTAATTAATGTCCTCAATGCCAGGCTTATGTGACCCAAGAAGACATAATGTTGGGAACACTAACAGTTAGAGAGACAATATCTTACTCAGCTAATCTAAGGCTTCCATGTACAATGACCAAAGAAGAGGTAAATGACATTGTAGAGGGAACAATTATGGAAATGGGTCTTCAAGATTGTGCTGATCGGCTTATAGGGAATTGGCATTTGAGAGGTATAAGTGGTGGAGAAAAGAAAAGACTAAGCATAGCAGTTGAAATTCTAACAAGGCCTTGCCTCTTGTTCCTTGATGAACCCACAAGTGGTCTTGATAGTGCCTCAGCATATTTTGTAGCCCAAACTTTGAGGAACATAGCACATGATGGGAAGACTGTTATATCTTCTATACATCAACCAAGTAGTGAGGTTTTTGCACTCTTTGATGATCTCTTTCTGCTTTCTGGGGGCCAAACAATCTACTTTGGAACAGCCGAAAAGGCAGTTGAGGTATATGATCTATTAATTATTCATATACTAGCAGACAAAAAAGAGTCAAATATAAACAAATTGACATTGAATTAATTTCTTTTGATATAGTTTTTGTTTAATAAAAATTAAACAATTGAAATAAACATTGTGCATCTGTAGTAATAGAATTATGTATCATATTAACGAAAAAACAATACTCATTAATATAAAGAATTCATATATAATATCAATACATACATCATATTATCAACGTAGGCACGTAATATATATTTATATTAATAACTTATTTTTTAAATAAATATTATATTAGTAAAACAATTTTAATGCTGAACATTTTTTACCTATTATATATTAAATGCCCTTTTTATATATAACGATGAGTTAGGCTCTTGTTCACTTTTAAGAGTAGGGCTTCATTTTTGTTTTATTTTGGGGAGGAGGGATAGTCTTTAAAGACTTAAGATTGAAAATTTAAACTAAAAGTCTATTCAGATTCAAAAAAATGGTAATGAAATTGTTGACTTGGTTGTATTTCTGGGAAATGTTGGAATACTTGTAGTGTGAAAGAAAATTTGATAATTAAAATGCTTATTGATACAACAAAAGCATGTGTTTAGAATTAACCCTTAATAAGTTAAAACCTGACATAATTTTATCCATTGATTTGGGCAGTTCTTTGCGAGAGCAGGATTCCCATGTCCAAGTAGAAGGAACCCTTCAGATCATTTCCTCCGTTGCATTAATTCAGACTTTGATGCGATCACAACCACTGTGATGGCCACCCAAAGAATACATGTATATATGCCTAACAATTTGTTTTTTCAATACCACAGGTTTTATAATTATTTGTTCCTTTACTTCTTTCTAGCTGCTTGAATATGCTTCCATCTAAGAATCCTCATCTTCTTTTCCCTTCTTTAGGACAAATTCAATTTTATTTAATGTTGAACATGATGCGAAAGAAACTTACCTAGCTAAAACATGTTTATATATATCCTTTGCATTAGTCAAAATAGACTTTTAAACACTAGCAAATATCCTCCATTTTCGTATTTTTATCCCAATTGGAATGTTTTTAAATTCAAATAAAGTGAAAGGTACAAATTGATTTTTTCGAAAAAATAAAATTGTAACTACACAACTAATATACGTAGAATTTGAAACATATGAATTTGAAGAAAAATATTTAAAATTATAAAAAATAATATCATTTTAAATACTTAAATTTTAATAATATAATAATAATGTGTCATTTTTTCAAAAAGAATTTTGTTAATCTAATCTCTCAAAGTTGAGTTTAAGTGTATTTTTTGCTAAAAATATGTATTTTTCACATACTCTTACGGGTTCAAATTTATTAGAAATTAGAAAAATACAAGAAAAAAATATTAAATTAAATATGAGAAAAGGGAAATTTTATATAATTTTTGTACTTTTTAATAAATTATATTAAAAATTAAAAATCTATTAAAAGAGTGTGTTAATACAGTATGTTATTAACACTTTTTTAGTAGATTTTTATTTAAGTTATAAAAATATAATTAATATTTTTACAATAAAAAATTAAGTCACTTTTCTAATTTAATGTGATGAGGACGAATTTAACCTGAGTTTCTTGTCCAACTTTTTATGATGAAATTTGTTTCTCTCTCAATATATTCTCTGTCCCTTTATATTATACAGGAACGAATATCAGTAACGGGATCGCCAACGGACTTATCAACTGCAGCAGTCAAAGCAAAACTCATAGAGAAATACCGATGGTCAGAGCATGCAACCATTGCAAGAGAAAGAATAAAAGAAATCTCAAACATTGTAGGTACCCCTTTACGCTTCCTGCTATAATTACACTCGAATCTTGCTATTCAGTGTTTAAGGACTTAAACTTTGGTTGAAGAATTAATAAATAATACATCTTTATCAATAATCATGTTATGATACATTAAAATAAATAAATAAATATATATATATATATATATATATATATTGTAATTTCTTAATTATTATATATCGTTAAACATTAGCTAGCATTTTCTACTACTATTATGAAAAATATTTTTTGTTCCCTTTATATTTGAGATGTAACATTAGACTTATAATGGGGCATTATAGGCCTTTCTTTTATTGTCATCATTTATAACCAAATTTTTTTCAAACTATAGAATTATAAGTTCTTAAGACCCCTACTCGTTCTTTTCGAATATATGCTACTTCTTTAGTTCTAATTTGTGCTACCTTGTATATGTATCTTGTGTGTCATTAGAAACATAATTTTTTTGGGATGCATGGTCTTGGTCCGTTAGATAACAAGAAACAAGGAATCTTGTGACAGGAAGGACATGATTTTGAAAGTAAAACCAAATGCGAAGCCAAATGGTGGAAGCAACTATCAACACTGACTCATAGATCTTTCGTGAACATGTCAAGAGATGTGGGATATTACTGGATAAGGATAACAATCTATGTGGCCTTATCTTTGTGCGTTGGAACAATCTTCTTTGAAATTGGATCAAGTTATAGAGCCATTTTCGCTAGAGGAGCATGTGGCGCTTTTATATCAGGTTTCATGACATTCATGTCCATAGGAGGCTTCCCATCTTTCATAGAAGAAATGAGGGTATCACATTTTGTATACAATTCTATTAAGTTCAAAACAAAGAAAACGATTATGGCATTTAATATTTATCAGTTCTTAAATTTTGTTTTCTCTATCTTGATACAGGTCTTTTACAAAGAAAGGCTCAATGGGTATTATGGGGTTGCAGTCTACATTCTATCAAATTTTCTCTCTTCATTTCCCTTTGTGGCAGTCATGTCCATTGCTACGGGAACTATAACCTATTATATGGTTAAGTTTCGTCCAGAATTTTCACATCTTTTGTATATCTGTCTTGATCTTATTGGTTGCATTGCGGTTGTGGAGAGTTCTATGATGATAATAGCTTCACTGGTTCCCAACTTCCTCATGGGATTGATAATTGGAGCGGGATATATTGTAAGTGTACTACTATTACCACTACTTTAAGCCTATTTTTCATTGAAAATTTATTGGTTTGCTTATTAAAGTATGTGCATTTGCAGGGTGTTATGATGATGACAGCTGGCTATTTCCGTCAGATCCCTGATCTTCCCAAATTCTTCTGGCGTTACCCAATTTCATACATCAATTATGGTGCATGGGGATTGCAGGTAAGTTCAGGAAAATCACCATTCTCCAAAGAAAAAAAAAATTAAGTACATGCATGATCAAAAGGATATCAAATGACAACGAATTCTCTAATATATCTCAAAATGTTAACATATTGCTTCTTTTAATGCGTTAGGTGTGTGATATAACTAGTGCAATTTTTTCAATTTATATGCTTAGTGATTATGGGGAATGCAGGGAGCTTACAAGAATGACATGATTGGGATGGAGTTTGATTCTTCGGTACCTGGGGGCCCGAAACTGAAAGGAGAAATAATCCTCAAAACAATGCTTGGCATTCAAGTTGATAATTCAAAATGGTGGGACTTAGCTGCAGTGATGGTCATTCTCCTATCGCTTAGAGTTCTTTTCTTTTTCATTCTCAAATTTAAGGAGAGAGTTGCACCTTTCATTTATAGTATCTATGCCAAACAAACTCTTCAGCGTATCAAGAAGCGCCCTTCGTTCAGGAAAGCACCATCTTTCCCTTCCAAGCGGCACCAATCACTGCATCCGTTGTCTTCTCAAGAGGGTCTCAACTCCCCTATTCATTAGAAGAGTCATTGGCTGATACAAACACACAAGAACCACACATCATACCCCGGATATGATATTATATGCTGGGAAATATTTTGTTTCAGCAATTGACATTTATAAAACATATAAATATAAGGGAACACATAGTGTTATTGTTTCGTTTTTCGTTTTATTTTTCATTTGGTCAGAGTAATGTTAACCATCCAGGTCAGGTGAACAACGTAATCAACGATGGAAAAGGGTGCACGAAGCCCAACAGAACAGAAAACGCTACAAAAATACGCCAATCAACTCACGTTTTTTCCGAAAGATGATGCTAAAAGTAGGTTTGATCTTTCAGATTTTTGCCCAATAAGATACGTGTAGTCAAGAGTTCTTGTTCAGCATCTTACCATGGGTGTTGACAGAATACAAAAATTGGATAATTATCATAATGACACTAAATGTAACTCGTACAGCAGATGGAAAAAAATATTGAAAAAGACACTGCCAAAGAAATTAAGAAACTACAGAATACTGACTGAACCCATGAAAAATTTATGTATTTCACGCAGGCAATATCTCTCTTTCAGTTTACACCACTAATCTAATCATCTGTGAATCAATTTTAAAACCAATCAACATTACAGCAGAATATGAAGCCATCCATATGTGCAGAACGTGCATTTAAATAATAAATGCAACTTAAATCAATCTTTCTAGGATTTCTTCTCATTAGACTCTCCATTTTCAACTCGATTGTCAAAACCATAATAAGGAACTTCAATCATTGGCCTGGGAATTGGCCGTCCATCAAAATCCTCAGGAAAGAATTCAAAATCAGGACCAAAGTTGAACTTGACTGTGCAGTTTGGTTCATTGGGGAGAGTGTACATTGAAGCAGCGGGATAGTAATGACCACCATAAAGATCTTTGAAAGCTACACCTTGGCATATGCCATTTTTAAAGAACGATATCTCACTTCCTGTACAGAAAACAGAATACGTTTGATGCCAAGTACATATCATAAAATGGTTACTTAAAATACAACTTACATTACAGCAAGGAAAAATCAACATTTGTACTATATGCAAGGAACAACGACAACAATAACAATCAAGTTTTATCCCATTAAGTAGGGGTCAGCTACATCCTACATGGATTGAATAAGACCACAATAATTCTATTATAAATCATGTAACAAATGCAAGGAAAGCAGTTATTTAATGTCCACAGCATTTTCAACATCACTAAAGATGGGTTCTGACAAAATCTGATTTACTATCAAGGTTCCCAAGGAGTCACTGATAACCAACTCCTAACTTCTAATCAGTCAATAATCAAAGTTGAGGATTTCAAAATGTATATACACCAAACAAAGATGCCAAAATAAATTCAATTCAATTTCAAATTACAATGACCTTCACACATTGTATTTAACTTTTGTTGTCTAACAACTCTAAAACCGCCAGCAAAAGAGCAAACAATTAAATTGTCTTGCATTCTCACTCACTCTCAATCATTTCATCCTATGGGGCAATAAATTAGCATCCAAGAAGATTCTATGCTAATCTTCATATTTACCCTGGATTCGCCAGCTTCTGCTCATCCATGATCACAGTCTCTTCATGCAACACAAAGCATGTAAACTACCTTAAATCTCTAATCCAAGACAAAGTTGACACAAAACTGAACACTAGATTTGTTTCAGTCTCTGACAAGTCTAGCTAAGCAAAATCGCAATCACCATCCTCTTCAATCCTTGCTTTCTGATATCACCGATATGCAAAATGCTGCTTCTCCCTACCCCAACCCTACCTCTGCCACATTGGATATATTTCCCAATCAGAAGCATTTAAATGCAGCATGGGCCATGCGGGAGCTAGGTAGTGTTTGTTCTAGCTTTTTTGGGCTTCTCTTTTCATTAAAAGTAAAAGCTCCTCAAATTAGCTTCTATAGAAGCTTTATTTTTTGGGCTTTTGATTAAAAAAAAGAATTTTTATTTTTTAAGAGATATTCTAAAATTGTAATCTTCCCAGCTTCTTATTTAAAGGAGAAGATAAGTCCGAAAAAACTGGAACATACACTACCCTAATAAAATCTTAAAATATATGATTCACCATTAGTTTTTTGGGAAGAATAACATTTTTTTCTACCTAACAAATAGAGAAACAAGCCCAGAAACTTTTATTTGATTGATTGGAATATTGGAATCTCTAAGACACATAACAAGTCTATGTTCACTTTCACCCCTAATTTTTCACATTATTGTCATCTGGGTAGGAGACGTTGAATTTTTGGCCCACTAAAGTGTCATAACAAGGAGAATGCACCACTGTCAGCAAAAAAACATAAGAGCAAGAGAAATAGAATGATGAAGAGAATAAGAATTGACAAAAAGATTCAGTTTTATGGCCACATAATAATAATGATTTCCAATTCAGGCAGGGTTGGAAAACAATACAAACAAACAACAACTAAGCTTCATCTAATATCTTATTAGAAGAGGTCAGCAAGGTGGGAAATAATAAACCAACAAAAAAAAAAAAAGGTTGGCCAATTGTTAGAGAGTGACCTGAAATCAAGCTGACCTATTTCACTGCCTCTCCATGACAAGTCAAATTAATATGATTTGAGCCTTAAAGAATGAAATAACACAAAGTATTCAAGTAATTTACAAATATAATACTTTAAAATGTACTGAAACAGTGCTCTCAAATGACCATTCACCAGATTGAAAATGTTGCAGGTATATGAGAGTTTCCTCATTCACCAATTCTCCCCTCACCTCTAACACAAGGTTACTAATTTTGGATGATGTTCTGGAGTTTCTACTTTCTACCTACTTCTGTTAAGAAATAATAAAGACATGAAAACCTTACTGACAAACTTCACTCTCATCTCTGCTGCAAGGGACAAATTTTGAACAAATTATCTCATCTTCTGTCTCTATCTTCTCTCCTAAGTTTTGCCCATGTGTTTGTGATCTCTCTCGTCAGTATTCTCTCTGGAGGCTCTAGTCTCTGTTTAATCAAATCGCAGACATGGTTTCTGGCTACTTCAGAATTTTGATTCCTTATAGTCTGTGCTATGCAAATCACACCATATGTGTTTCTGGCCAATTTTTTTGTTTCTTCACATGGGTGGTGGTGATATCATTTTGGAGTTTTTATTGCTAGAAAATGGTGTTATTATGTTTATTGTTCTCAATTTACGTTGTTAACTTGCTTTTGTTTGCGTTTTGCAGGTCCTTTTAGTATCTTTTACATTTTTTTAACAACGTCTCCAAGCTTCTGCCATTGGCAGCATCACCATCCATTAGATGTCTATGGCCAATTTTTGGCTGCCATTTATCATTGACAATACTGAACGAAACCATGGCAACATTCAGTTTCAAGTATTTCATTTAGTCACATAAAAAATTTTATAACCTAATCATAGTCAAGCAACCCAGAACCAAAAACTCGGATGTCAAGTCAAATCTCTCCCTCTCCACACCCTTAAAAAATTAACTTAGCCCCAAAATAATAAACTAGCAACAACCCACCAGTATCAGTATATTCACTTAAAAACACTAATCACCACAAATCCATCAACCCTATTTCTCTCAGCCTTGTAATGGAGGGAGCAGACATACCCATTAAAAATTATACTGTCCTAGTTCAAAAACATATAATAGCAAAGCAGAATCATAAAAACTAAAACTAAAAATCAACCAACAAAGTAGATTACTGACCAGGCACTACTTTGGGTGGATCCTCCCCCTTAGCATCTTGGGCACAAACATATCGTTGGCCTTTATACCAAACCAAATGAGATGCTTTGGGAGCATACTTGTCCCCATCTGGCAAATTGATATAGAAACCCATAACATCACCTTCCTTATACCCTTCCTCTCCATACTTTTCCCTCAATGCCTTATGTATCTTGCTTCCATCAATATCTCTGTAGCCAAAACTATTCCCATCATACCCAACCGGTGCCTGCAAATCACCCTTCTCAGTGGACCATCCAAGGCGCGTGTGCCCAGTCTCCCCCAAATTAACAACCTTAATCTCAAAGTACCATGCTCCTTCTGCAACCCCTCTCGTTGCCCTAACCATTCTATAACCCTTGGTGCTCCCTGCACTCATTCTGTCCTCACTCAACTCCACCTTCTCGGCTTTGTACACCTTCGACAAGCATATCTTCATCTCCGGCGTGTCGTCGCTCTTGTCCGGGAATCTCGGAACCGGCGTTATCAGAACGTTATTTTCCCCGTTCGTGTGGTTGTTGTTTCCCTTGCTCTTCTTCTTCCCCTTCCTCGTCGACTTCGTCGCCCACACGTTGTTGCTCTTCTTCTTCGATTTCTTCGAATTCGTCCCAGTACCGTTCGCCGGCGTCGCGGCATAGCCGGAACCGTTGTTTCCCTCCCGCAACGCGGGCGAATCCTCCTTCCCGGCGGTCTCGGCCGTCAGAGAGGAGAGCTGCTTCTGTTTTTTCGGAGGAGGCTCTTCTTCGTCTTCGTCTCCTTCTTCTCTTCCGGATTTCGGTGACTTCTTCGGTTCCGCGGAACCGTCAGACGCGGCTTCGTCGTCGGAGAGGTCGTCAGAAGGGTCAGGCTCGGACCGGCCGTCGTTCTGGGCTTCGGTTGGGGTGTCAGAGGGGGTGCTGGTGGTGAGGGGAGGCGCATCTGGAGATTCGGTGTCGGTACCTCCTCCTCCTCCTTCGGCGGTGGCGGTGGTTGTAGGTGGAGTGTCGTCTTCTTCATCCTCTTCGTCTTTGTAAGTAGCTTGTAAGCTATCCATGGGTGCTAGGGTTTTTCGTGTAGAACTAACGGAAAGAACGAATCGGAAAGCGATGGTGGTTCCGGTAAGCAAAGGGAGTGACTGTGGAATACAAGAAACTCAAATTTGCTGGGCCCACAAATAAAAAGGCCTTACTCTGTGCATTTAGGCCCCAAATTCATTTGTTCCCCCCTCAATCCTAATTCTCGCGCCAATCAAAAACATATCCTTATTATCGCAATTTAAATATAAATCTTTATTTATACACATATCATGTTACAACACTATCAACATTTATCTAATTCTTTGGTCTCTTTATCTTTTTTTATTTCTGTTATATTGAATTACTACTTATTATATTTATTATTTTTTTTATCAATATATTTAGAGTGATATTTAAAAAAAATATTTTAATTAAAATGATGTATATCTTTTGTTATATAGATAATTTTAATTAATTCCGGGTGAATATGGCTCAGTATAATATTCAAATACCTTGTTCTGAAATTGTATATGACTTCATCTAAATCTAAGGTATGGTTTATATGCATTAAAAAAGAGTCCCTGAACGATGACCTTGTGTGGCGCCTAGCACGAAAGCTTGTGCATTGATGAATGAACAGTGACCTGTTAGGACCATTGTTTCTATGTGGGATGTTTGAATTCAGGGACACACAGGATCAGTTCTTTCAAATGTCACCCCATTTTACACCATAAACTATAAATTACAAGAGAACCAGGTTTTATCTTTATCATTTTCATTAAATTAATTTACCCTTATTTAAATTCTAAACTCTTTAAAATTAATTTTTTACTCCTCCACTTAATAAATATATAACATCCTTATTTTTGCCTTTTCTATGTTAATGTGTATAGCACGATTTTCTATTTTGTATTTTATAAAATTTTATAACTTTAGTTAAAGAATCTCTAAAATAAAAGTATTTATTTTCAAAATAAATTCTCTCTAAAAACATGTTTGATTTTTAAGAAAAAAGAAATTTTGCAATACTTTAAATTATTTTAAAAACTCCTTAATTATATTTTAATTGCAAACATAACACACACCAATAAAGGTGATGTAGTAGTAGAAATATTGGTCCTTTAACTTGCTCTTAAGATCAAATTCTATCAAGCCAATTTTTTACTAAGCAATTTTTTTCAAATTTTTATAAGTGTGAAATAACCAAAATGTCCCTGCATGCATAAGAAAGGTGGAAATCAATCTTTATCCTACGTAGCACCCTTTCTCCCTCACTTAAACTCTCTTTTGGTTTCTCTCATCTTCCCCACCATTTTTCTCCATCTTTTTCAGCAACCTTGGGCTGGAAACCATCGCCCTTCATGGCTAAAACCTGGAACCCTTCCTTCTCTATGCATAAAGCCAAGGTTTTTACACACTTTCTTCTCCAAAATCTTAAACAACCACTTACTTACATGGTGCCAAAAGGAGATGTTTTCATTCGTGCATGTCAAAGAGGAGTCTTGATCATTCTTCTAGATACTGAATCAAGTTACCAAACACTTTTCAACCTCTCTTTCTCCATGTTTTCATCAATCAAAGCAAGGAGGCAAGGTTCTTGCACCTCCTCCATAAAAAAGCTTGAAACTTCCTTCATTACAACCACTATGTGAGACATTTTTTTACCCTCTAAACTTGTTTTTCTGCACCTAATAACTGTGTATTTGACTTCTCAAGTAGAAAAGCTTTCAAACACAAGTAGTTTCTCTCAAAATGAACATCGAATTCACAAGTTATAGTGAAAACAAAATACCTTTCCAATGGTATATCATAAGTCTAAATCTGATATCGTTTATGCCCTCAATTGCTTTGAGTACATATCTTTCCAACGCACTATCTCAAGCTTGATCGGAGTTTGTTTCACCACTCAACAACTTGATCTTCTTTCCGACGCACGTTGCAGCTCGTCGATCGGTGAGACACATGCAAAGTTTAAAGCTTCATAGAGAAAGTCTCCGTTTTTTTGTAATACTCCAATTTTTTTCTCACTTTATAAATGATTATTGGATTATGTTAACCTTATTGAATTAAAAGTAAGTAATACGTAAAGACTTGAGAACTATAATTTTTTTTGACAAAATTTACTTAAACGAGTCCAATCGATAAAGAATCGGGTAATATAAAAAGGAAGTAAAAATAAAAAAAAATTATTTGACATTTTAGACTATCTAAAATAGTTGTATATGAATTATAAGAAATTTAGAAAAATTCAAAAATGAAAAATAAATAAAATTGTAAAATTTGACCAAAATGACCAAAATACCCTTAGAAACACCTAGAATGGATGCCCATTTTGGACAAGCAAATGAAGGAGATAAATTCTGAAATTTTTATGATAAATGGACCATGTGTAAAGGTTATGGATGCGCAAGTATGAAGCTAAAAGAGAAAGTATAGAAATTACCCAAAAAGAGACCCAAATATTAAATGTAAACGAAAGAAAGTGGGTTAAAAATAGTAGTAAGGAGCCATGTGATCCATTAGAGCCATGTGAGACTAATCCTGATTAAGGGATAGGTCATTTTTGGCTTAATCCCAGCTGGATGAGCATATTCCACAAGAGCCAATGAAATCAAGCCAAAACAACAAGGTAAGCATTTTTAGAAGATAAGGCTAATGATGAATGATTTGTGGATTAATTCTCATCCAATGGATCTAATTAGACCATGACCATGACCATTGGATTTGAACTAAATAGGTTTCAGAAAGTAATTGGAATGATTGAAATGGAACTAGGAAGGTTAAAATCTAACTAGAAGTACAAAAATTATCATGAAAGGGCAATTTTGGACATTTACAAATGTGCACATGTGTAGGCTTGTGGAATAAGTCAAAGAGGAAACAAAATTGAAAACCAAGACTTGTGAGAGAGCGTGGAACTGTGAGATGCATGAGGGTGGGCCAACATTATGAGATTTTTTATATAAAGCCATGCATGAAGGAGGAAAAGACCCTTCATACCAATTCTCATGCAACTCAAGAGCTCTTTACTTTTTCTTCATCTCAATTCTCTCTATACACATCTAAGTTTATCTCGAATACTTCACTTGAACCACAAGTTAGATCACCCAATACCCCATGATAAGAGTCTTGAATCAAACCTTTAATCCCACCAAAAACACCAAGATACCCCATAAAATCCACCAAGCTTCCAACTTTTCTTTTTGTATACTATTTGGAACTTAAAGAAGTAGGAGGCCAAGGAAAGAGATACTCACTTCCAAGACGTAAAATAAAAGCGAAAAGGGAAGACGAGAAGGATCACTCAAAGATCAAGGCAAGATCAACCCAAAAATACCAAGTAAGGGGAGAGTACTTTTCATAATCAAGGGGAATACTTTGTTTAAATGGTTTTGAGTCAAAGGAGAGCCTTAACCCTTTTTGGTTGTGATTGAATTTGTGTGTGTTTATGAATCCATGATTAAAATTTTGATTGAAACAAGTAAATGCATAAAAATCACTAAGAACCACAAAGTGTATTGTATTTAATGATGACTTTGCTTGTTATATTGTTGGTGGCATGAAAATCTTGCATGTTTCATTTTGTGACTTATTTTTATGGTGTCTAAGTTGGATTCATGATTTTCTTATGGATTAAAATTATTTTAGAGTTAAAATGAATTTTTAAACTATTTTTAAAGATTTATCTAAGAAACTTCTAAAAAGAAATAGATTAAGAATGAAAAGTGACCGTGATGAAGACCCTTGGACTTATGGACATATTTAAACATATGGACTACATGGGCAAATGATGAAAACAAACTTTAAAAAATAAATTTGAAAGATTGAACCTAAAAAAATGGAAAAGTATCATAGATTTTGACCAAAAATACCTTGAAAGTGCAAGACACTTGACCACATGTGTGGTTGGACCAAGAGAATGATTTGGACCATATTTAGACATAAATTAATGACCTTGAGTACTTGGGAACTGGACAATTTGAGAATTACAAAATTTGGAGACAAGGACCTTTTTGTAATTTATATAAAATATAAGGATTAAAGTGTAAATAATATAAAATATGAGAAAATCTTTGAAAATATTTTTTTAGTATTTTATTCATGAATATAGTTAAATTTTGAGGATTTTTCCACTAGGTTTACTTTATTTGAATTTATATTTAATTATTTATGATTTTTATACATTTCTGTTGCATGAAAATAGTATTCTGGGAGCAATATACTTTGACTTATTTTTGTCTTACTATATGTTTGTAGTGTTATTTTATTGATATATTTTTTTTTAAAAAAATAGACTTGAAGCTATGCTCACTTGTTTCACTTGATTTGGAATTGAAATAAAATAGTTATGAATTTTTGAATATTCTGTTATGTGTAAATGTTTTTTTTGAGAACAACGTACTTTAAATTATTTTTGTCTTAGAATTCAAGTATGATTGTATTTTATTTATATTTGTTTATGAAAGTATAATTCATAGGGAAAATATGTTCACTGAGTTTGATAAATTTGGAGGTTAAATAAATTACTTATGATTTTCTCAAGGTGTTGTTGTATGAGAGTAATGTTTTGTGCATGCTACTGAAAATCCTTTTTTTTGTTTTGAAATGTATAAGTGATGTTATTTTATTATTAATTTTTTATGAAAATAGAGAATATAAAGGAAATACCCTAACTAGTTTAATGAATTTTGGACTTAAAATAAAATAGTTATGACTTTTTTATTTAATTGATTCTGAGAAGTGTGTTACTGTGAGTGACAGAGAATGTTTAAGACTTATTCTAGAATTTGGAAGTTATAAAATTTTAATTATATTTTTTTGTGAAACTAGATAACCAAAGTGAAAGAATGTCACTTATTTCATGAGTTTTGGTGATGAATTGAATGGTTTATAATTTTTCCAATATGTTGTTGTTGAATTGTGCCATTCTATGACATGAACTGAGAAACTAAAGCACGAATTAATGTATGTGAATAGTTTGATTTTGAAAGTATTTTTATATGAAAATAGACATGTTAAGAAGAATAAACTTATTGGTTTCATGTGTTTTGGATGAGAAATGAATTTATTACAAATTTTCTAATGTGTTGGCTATTTAGTGCATTAATCTAAGAACAACAAAAATGAATTGAGGTTCAATGAAATTTTTGGAAGTGTTTAAATTTTGATTGTAATTTTATATTACAGTAGACATGTAAAGGCAGAAAACCTTGATGATTTCATTATGTTTGG